AAAAAAAAAAAAAAAAAAAAAAAAAAAAAAAAAAAAAGAATTAAAGATGGTAATGGTATAGTTTTTTCAGAGTCTGAGCCTATCTTTCTCTTCAGCAGCTTTACAAAGACAGCTTTCTCAACCAAGTTTCCTCAAAAAAATTAAGGCCTAAACCAAAAGCACTAATTGCATGTAAGGAATCGGTGTCCTGCTTTGTATCTAGAATGGTTCTGGTTAGGTACCATCCTTGGGAGAATTGAGAAAAGAGCCACTCAAAATATTCTCTGTGTTCCATGGTTTAGATAATGAATGCTGGTTGAGAAAGGCTGTGTGGTATCAGCATTATTGGCATCAACTGGAAACTTGATAGAAATTCAGAGTCTCACAGGAAACATGAAAAACAAGGAAATATGACACCCCAGAATGAACACAACAATTCTCCAGCAATAGATCGTAACTGGAATGAAATTCTTAAAGTATCAGATAAGGAAGTCAAAATACTGATTTTTAAATATGGTCAGTGAGGTGGAAGATAAATCTGAAAACCAATACAAAGAACTCAGTGAAACAATTCAGGATATGAATGAAAAATTTTACAAGGGGATAGATTTTTATTTTTAAAAAAACCCTAACATAAGTTCTGGAATTGATGAATTTATTGAAGGAAATATAAAATACATTCAAAAGCTTTAATAATAGACTAGACTAAGTAGAACAAAAAATGTTTAGAACTTGATTACATGTCTGAAACAATCCAGTAAGACAAAAATAAAAAAGAATAAACAAAGCCTTTAAGACATTTGGGACAACATAAATCAGCTGAATATTTGAATTATTGGTATCCCCAAGGCCAAAAAGATCAGAAGGCTTAGAAAACCTATTTAATGCAATAATAGATGAAGGCATCACAAGTTTAGCAAGAGATTTAAACATCCAGATATAGGAGGTGCAGTGATTCCCCAAACAAATACAATGCAAAAAAAAAAAAAAGTTTTCACCACAGCACATTAGAATCAAACTATCTAAAGTCAAAGAGTGAATTCTAAAAACAGCAAGAGAAAAACATCTCATCAACTGTGAGGGAAACCCAATCAGACTAATAACCATACTTCTCAGCAGAAAGCTGACAGGCCAGGAGAGAATGGGATGAAAATTCAAAGAGCTGGAAGAAAACAACCATCAGCCAAGAATTCTATATCCAGCAAAATTAGCCTTCATAAATGAAGGAGAAATAAAGTATTTCCCAAACAAGCAAATGCTGAGGGCGTTTGTCTGTACGAGGCTGACCCTACAAGAAGTCTTCGAGGAAATCCTAAACTTGGAAGCAAAAAGATGGCATTTAGCATCATGAAAACACATGAAAGTATGAAACTCACTGTTAAAGCAATCACACAAAGGAGAAACAGAAATGAATGAAATAGCACCACTACAGAATTCCACCAATCCACAGTGACAAACAGTAAGAGAAAAAGAAACAAATAATGTATAAAATAACCAGAAAACAATTAACAACATGACAAAAGCAACAAAACTCTACATATCAATAATAACTTTAAACATATATGGATTAAATGCTCAACATAAAAGCTATAGACTGACTGAATGGATTTCTTTAAAAAAAAAAAAAACATGATTCAGCTAAATGCTGCTAATAAGAAACTCACCTTACCTGTAAAAACATATAGACTGAAAGTAAAAAGGTAGAAAAAGATATTCCATGCCAACAGAAACCAAAAGCAAGCAGAAATAGCTATAATTATATTAGGTAAAACAGACTTTAAGTCAAAAACAGTAAAAAGCAACAACAAACAAGTTTATTTTATAATGATAAAGGGATCAATTCAGTAAGAGGATATAACAATTGTAAATATATACACACCCAGCACCGCAGCAACCAGATTCATTAAAAAAAAAATTACTATGTCTAAAGACAGAGGTAGACTATAATACAATAATAGTGAGGGGCTTCAACACCCCACTGAAAGCATTAGGCAAATTATCTAGACAGAAAATAAACAAAGTAACTGATATCATTTGACTGTGTCCCCACCCAAATCTCATCTTGAATTGTAGTTCCCATAATCCCCACATGTTGTGGGAAGGATGCAGTGGGAGGTAATTGAATCATGGGGGGTGATGGTTTAATAAGGGGCTTTTCCCCCCTTTGCTCAGCTCTCATTCTCTCTCCTGACACCCTATGAAGAGATGCCTTCCACCATGATTGTAAGTTTTCTGAGGCCTCCTCAGCCATGCAGAACTGTGAATCAATTAAACTTCTTTTCTTAATAAATTACCCAGTCTCAGGTATTTCTTCATAGCAGCATAAGAACAGACTAATACAATGACTTTTTTTTGAGGCAAAGTCTCATTCTGTCACCCAGGCTGGAGTGCAGTGGCACAATCTCAGCTCACTGCAACCCCCACCTCCTGGGTTCAAGTGATTGTCCTGCCTCAGCCTCCCGAGTACCTGGAATTACAGGTGCATGCCACCACGCCCAGCTAATTTTTGTATTTTGTGTTTTCACCATGTTGGCCAGGCTAGTCTCAAACTCCTGTCCTCAAGTGATCCATCCACCTCTGCTTCCCAAATTACTGGGATTACAGTCATGAACCACTGCTCCCAGCCTAATACAGTAAATTGGTACTGCAGAGAATAAGGCACTGCTATAAAGATACCCAAAAATGTGGAAGTAACTTTGGAACTGGGTAACAGGCAGAGGTTGGAACCATTTGGAGGGCTCAGAAGACAGGAAGATGTTGGAAAGTTTAGAACTTCCTAAAGACTTGTTGAATGGCTTTGACCAAAATGCTGATAGTGATATGGACAACGAAGTCTAGGCTAAGGTGGTCTAAGATGGAGATGAGGAACTCATTGAAAACTGGAGTAAAGGTCACTCTTACTATACAAAGAGAGTGGCAGCATTTTGCCTCTTCCCTAAAGATCTGTGGAACTTTGAACTTGAGAGAGATAATTTACGGTATCTGGTGGAAGAAATTTCTAAGCAGCAAAGCATTCAAGAGGAAGCAGATCATAAAAGTTTGGAAAATTTGCAGCCTGATGACACAACAGAAAGCAAACCCCATTTTCTGGGGAGAAATTCAAGCTGGCTGCAGAAATTTGCATAAGTAATAAGAAGCTAAATGTTAATCACCAAGACAATGGGGAAAATGTCTCCAGGGTATGTCAGAGACCTTCACAGCAACCTCCCATCACAATCCTGGAGGTGTAGGAGGGAAAAATGGTTTCCTGGGCCAGACCCAGGGCTCCCCTGCTCTATGTAGCCTCGGGACATGGTGCCCTGTGTCCCAGCTGCTTCAACTCCAGCCCTGGCTCAAAGGGGCCAATGTACAGTTCAGGCCATTGCTTCATAGGGTGCAAACTCCAAGCCTTGGTGGCTTACATGTGGTGTTGAGCCTGTGGGTCCACAGAAGTCAAGAATTGAAGTTTGGGAAACTCCACCTAGATTGCAGAGGATGTATGGAAACACCTGGATGTCCAGGCAGAAGTTTGCAGCAGGTTCAGAGCCCCCATGGAGAACCTCTACTAGGGTAGTGCAGAAGGGAAATGTGAGGTCGGAGCCCACACAGAGTCCCCATTGGGGCACTGCCTGGTGGAACTGTGAGAAGAGGCCCACCGTCCTCCAGACCCTAGAATGGTAGATCCACCAACAGCTTGCACTGTGCACATGGAAAAGCTGCATACACTCAATGCCAGCCCATGAAAGCAGCCAGGTAGGGAGCTTTACCCTGCAAAGTCACAGGGGTGGAGCTTCCCAAGGCCATGGGAGCCCACCTCTTGCATCAGCACACCATGGATATGAGACATGGACTCAAAGAAGATAATCTTGGAACTTTAAGGTTTAATGACTGCCCTGTTGGATTTCAGACTTACATGGGGCCTGTAGCACCTTTGTTTTGGCCAATTTCTCCCATTTGGGGCAGGTGTATTTACCCAATGCCTGTATTCCCATTGTATCTTGGAAGTAACTAACTTGCTTTTGATCTTACAAGCTCATAGGCATAACAAACTTGCCTTGTCTCAAATAAGACTTTGAACCTGGACTTTTGGGTTAATGCTGGAATGAGTTAAGACTTTGGGGGACTGTTGGAAAGGCATGATTCTGTTTTGAAATGTGAGAGCATGAGATTTGGGAGGGGCCAGGGGCCAAATGATA